AGTGTACATTAATGAGAAAAATTGAGAAATTAATTGATTTTAGCAAATGGCTGCAATGAAACAAAGAGTGAAAAATTTAAAGGGGTCTGAATACTTTCCGTACCCACTGTATGTCTTAATACATATATGGAGGGGATCTTTAAATTTATAGTTTCCGATTCGGCCCGGTGGATTTTTGTAAATCCACATTAGGAGCACTGGGAGGAGCCAGAGGAAGCTGATATTTTCACAGATTATCTTTCTTGTGTTCTACTGTCAGGATATAGTGAAAGTTTCAGTTAATATGACAAAGTTATTTTATAAAAACTACCTACTGCAGCTTTAATTAATCTTTGAAAACACCCGGATTCGTATTTACTATTTTCTTTCTAATATAACTGGTCTGTGGTGATAAAATGAAACTCCTGAGCTAGCACAGTAGTATTACAGTACATTACTTGGAATGTGACCAAAACGATGCTTTTGTCGGGGACTGTTTCGACTGCATGTTTCATTCAGTGTTTTGGTCTTTTTGTGGGATTTGTTCGACTAGAAGAAAGATATAGAACATCATTTATCATTTCAACCCTCACGATTCCCAGAAAAGTCAAATAAAGACCTTTTTCTGCCTTTTCTTTGCGAGCTCTCTCCTCCTCTTCTTCCTGTTTCTTAGCAGCCACTGTGAATGAACCAGAGACAGAAAACATGTAATTGTCACAATGGAAACCTCTAGCACATAAAGCTGATTTTGTAGGTAGTTAAGGAAGTGAGAGACGTACAGTCGGCGTAATCATATTCTTCATACCAGGGCCCGACAAATGGGACGGTGGTGGTTTCCTCTGAAACAGAAACAGATCAATTATTACAGCTTTAGCATTTGAACAGTGACACTTTGTTACCCAGTAGTGAGCAAATACAACACAATAAAGAAAAAATTGAAAGCAGATAAAAGATATTCTAATAGTAAATCATATTTTAACAAACTTAGGAAGGTTGGTTAACACTCTGATATCTTACATTATGTTAGAAATGTACAGTATGGATCAATTAGTATAATTGGCATTCATTTGCATAATCACCTATATGGACAATATTTCACCAACTTTTTGGCCAATTTGGACAATATTGTAGTGGTTCTGGGTGTAATTGAAGATGCAGAATCCATTTCTGACATTTTCAAAATACCAAATGGCCGTTTAAACCAGAAGTGGCCACATTCCAGTGGGCCAAGTTTGATGAATTTTTAGTTGATTTTTAGGTATTGTATATGCTGAATAAATTGGACATGTGTCTGTTCAGTCTTCTTATTATATTAAGATATTTCTTCAGTTCTGCTTGGCTGTCATTGTGTGTAGTTACTGCTGCGCGCCGAATAATGGCATGGAAACACAGCTTTACACATATGGTTTATCATCTCAATGCAAACCCAACCGTATACTGTGTGACAGACGGGTACCTGGTATATACATGATGACCTCAGTAGTTGTGCCTTCTTTCTTATCCGGGTATCCACCGGGAACCTCATCTGTTAAGGAACACAGCACATCCTCTGTTATCATCAGATTTGAATGCGAAATCTCTTCATCAACCAGTAACTAAAGTCCACAGCAGCAATTTTAACCAGTTATTGTCATTAGAGGGGAAATAAATCTGCAGGGACAAACTCTTCTTCAGACTCTGCTTTCATTTGCTTGCTGAAAATATTAGATAATAAATCTGTTTCCTGGAGATCAGCAGTATCCTCCATGTGCTTCTCCACATAAAATCTCTCATTTTCACAGCCCTCGTAACCCGCTGGAACCTCTACGCTTCGTCATAAAAGGCTTCATAAAACATTTGGCTCTGAATGAATAGATGTTGATGAAACCTACGTCTGGCGTCCCAGTAGTCAGCGTCGAGCTCACTGGCAGTTTTTGTTGGAGGTGTCGGCCTCTTGGAGACGTCAACTGCATGAAGGAGACGAGGAGGCAGAATTAGTTTTACAGCTTCATTTTAGAAGTTGGAGATGTACTCAGATCTTTTACTTCAACCCACTACAAGGAGTCTCAGTTTAATCCTGATGCCTCTATATGAGAGAAACAAACAAGACCATCAGAGAAAAGATTGGAGATTATATATATATATAGTTATATCCTTAATGCCTGCCACTGGTACGGATTCAGTCAAATTCTATGGAGTCATAGGAGTGCCATAAAAAAGAATACATCTGTAAAATAATTTAAAAAATGTTTAGAAATATAAAGATTAATAAATAAAACAATAAATGAGTAAATACAAAAGTCAAAATATAAAGAGAAATAAATAAAAGAATGAATAAATAAATAGTGGAAAAATAAAGACAAATAAGATAAATAATTAAATGAAAAATGTGGAAAATAAATAAAAAATATACATTAATAAGCATTTTAATCTATTTTTTAGATTTGTTAATTTATTTCCGTATATATATTTTTTTAAATACAATATTTTTTGCACATAATTTTTCTGTATATTTTTATTTTTATTTATTTGTCATTTATTGATTTTTAAATTATTTTCTCTGTCTGTTGCCTCTGAAATGTAGAGAAGAAGAAGTATAAAGTCACAGAAAATCGAAATAATATTGTACTAAATGTACTTTCCATCACTGCAACACCAGTGAATATATTAGCAATTCCTTTCGAGCATTTATGACTACAACTTTATTATCGAGTGAAGACTAAAACCAGTTCAGGGAGCGGTGGAAGTCTCACCCAGGTCTGGCTCAACAGGCTCTACCCCTCGAGGCCCCTTTGGGGTCACAGGACGAAACACTGTAAAAAATCCAGTTAAAAGGAATCCCGTCAGACCAAATGTAAACAGAGGAAGGTTGTGTAATATTTAGAATTTATTGCAAAACAGATAAGACATCAAAATCATTCCAACATCATTAGATCTGCAGCTATCCTTTCCTGAAGAAACATTTTATTCATCTACAAGTCAAACTTTGTAAGTACCTTGTAAATGTTAAAGAATATAGTGAATATAGTGTGTACATACGTGTGTCCCAGCCCAGTTCAATCAGCAGTTTCTCCTCTTCCTCCTCCACAGATGGACGCCTCCTCTCCGGCGGCGCTGTGGTTGTTGTCTTCGGTTTCTTGGTGGCTTTGGGCGCCTTTGGCTTCTTTGTGGGTTTTGGTGCTTTGGGTTTTTTGGTGGGTTTCGGAGGTTTTGGCTTTTTGGTGGGCTTTGGGGCTTTCTGCTTCTTGGCTTTGGCTTCCTTCTCTGCTGCTTTCTTTGCCCTGGCTTCAGAGAGGAAAACACTTAGTTAGCTGTGTACAACAAGAGAGAGAGAGTACGGCCTGTGAAGCAGCTGTTAAGCAGTTTATTGTCGGGTTATGAGAACTTTTATTGCCAAATGTCTGTCTTCAGTTTTTTCTGTGTTATTTACAGCAAACATCCCATAAAACAAGTTCAAACTGAAACAGACAGAACATGCAAACGCAGCAGGACTCGGTTCTGAGAGAGAGTTTGTTTTGGTCTGAGCCCAAACACACTCAGAGTGGATACTACTGCCAAAGACTAATAATGTTCCTTTGGTGCACAGGATGGGATAGTTACATAAGAGTGGTGGTCGACTGATACTGATCCTCAGAGAGCAGGACGGCCAATGAATGACTTATTTTTCAGTTTGTGCTGTGAAAACGAAATACCAAGTAAAAAGTTATTAATCAGGAATGTTTCTGTAACCTATAACACTAAGTTAGTGCCACCTAAAATTACAAGTAAAAGCAGCTTAATCAAGATTTCCTTTTAACCTAAAATTGAGTTAAATGAACTTATCTGGTTTTTCAGTGTAAAATAATACATCGCACATTAAAACAATGTATATTTAATGTTAGCCAGTAAAGGTTTGAGATTAGATTCGCTGTCATACAGAGAACGATCGTGTCTGAGGACAAACGTTTACAGCAGGATGACTGAGAGTTATAGTGACTATCTAATAATGGCAGATAATTGGCCCACTGATTAATCGGTCTATCTATATAAGAGTATACAAAGTGTGACCTGATGGTAGAGTGAGAGGAAAGGTGATCGTAGTAAATCAGTCGTTGATCCTGGCAGCGTAACTGTACGGTGAAATCCTTATAATGAGCTGTTCCTATCTACAGAGAGCGGCTCCTCTTCAAACTGGGCCTTTAAATCAAATGTTTTCTCATTAAAATAATGTTTTTATTCAACTTTAATCAGATAAGTCAACTGAAAGGACAATTCTCATTTACAGTTTGGACCTGGCCAAGAGGCAAGTTCAACATTTTGTCTGTTTTCTTTCTGAGAGTGAGAGACGAAGAGTGATGCCAATCTTCATGTCTGTGCCTCGGAGGGAAATTCTGGTATTTTTCAATCTGGGCCTTGTTTAATATGACCAAGACCTTCTACCGGTTCCAATATCAAGGCTTATGGCTCCCACTCTGTGGAACCACCTTGACCCTAATTATAAATAATGCAGAATCAGTTGTTAACTGTTGTTTAAAACTCACCTGTTTCATAAGCACTTCTGTCCTCTGTGTAGGTTTTATTTTCATCCTGTTATTTCTTGTTTTAACTTTCTAATGTTTGTACTGTACAACACCTTGTAACTAGCTTTGAAAGGTTCTTTATAATGTTGTTTTTATTCATTATTATTTATTATTTATTAATTTATTCTGCCACTGACAGACTCAGGTT